ATTTTTTTCGGATCTTGTTCATTACGATGAATTTCAAATAATTCTCTTGCGTTATAACAAAGCTTTGGAGATAGATATCGAAATGGTAGTGTGGGTGAGCGAAGATAACGAAGAGTATGACGGTATAAATGTAAAGGGTTGGTAGATGATTGAAAAGGTAGCATTTTTTTTCTCTGGAAGTACAAATGTAAAATTTACCATATTTAATTCTGATCATGTGTTAATTATATGACCTGGCCAATCAGATTCGAGTACTAGACTGTATCTGTTATTGGCTAACTTTTTTATGTATCACTTTTTAGAAAGTGGTTGTTTTAAAAAAAATCATCCGATTATCAATACGTATAATTATACCCTGGTCACCATATCAGATATAAAGATCACTGTTTACCAATGTATAACTATTATTTTACTAGTTAATTAAATAAAGTATGCATATACTATTTTGTATAACCTCCTTTTTACAGTTCGTGTTTAGTTATACAAAGATTATACTGGTATATATATAATTAAAAAGGTCTCTTGCTTAACCCTTTCTAAACGTCGAATAGTTAGTTATTCGCTAGTGTGTTACTAAATTGAATAATAAGACACTTTTTATATGATACTATATACTGTAAATCATAATACTAGTTTTGTTAGCAACTATTTATATTTAGTCATATTTCGGAAATGAATCTTTGCTGAATGTTTGCCAAATAAATACTAGTTTTTTTGCAAAACGGATTCGAGGGACCATTTAAAATTCCAGCAATAGATAATTGGCTGATTCTATTATTACACAGTTATCTTATCGTTATGTGGACTATAAATAATTCCCCTGCATTCGTTTTGGTACATATATGGGGTTAAAAGATTCATATATCAGATATATTAACTTTATTGTGAATCAGATTAGGTTTTCTAGAATATGTTCATAAGAATTTACTATTATGAGCTACGTAGTTAAATTACTCAAAATTATTATGGTGCTTCAAGCAAGTCACTTATTAAATTTTTTTTTTTTTAAAAAAAAATAATAATTGTTTTTAAAATAAATTAATCGATAAAAATAAAATAAAAATCTTTATCATTAGCTCTATCAAATACCAAAGTTATATATATTAAACGTTATTAAAAGTAAAATTTGGCGTTTACTACGTATAAAAAAAAAATTTTATCAAAAAATGGGTTATCCAATCAAAAATTAGTTAAATGAATAATTATGATTGGTTAATATATACATATAAATTTATATTTGAAAGTTTGGCGCTCTTTTGATGATAAGCGACTTGCTGCTGTAAATCATATTATTTCTAAATTGGTCAAACTATTTTTAAAACCTATTTTACTGTAGAAATAGGTTAGGTTATCACAAGTCTGAATTCAATGCGAAAACATCACATTTAACGTTAGAAAGAAAACCATACAACGTTATTATAAAATTTAAAGAGAATACCCGGCACCTGGCTTTAGTTTCTTAATTTTTAATTAATAAAAAATATTGTTTAGAAAGGTCGGATCTACGAGATCCAAAAAAAAAAGGTCTGTTTAAAAAAAACCGAAAATTCATACGTACTTTATTTCCCGTCGATCTAATCTAAAAAAAAACCAAATTTTGATATGCGACGTCAATTTAAACCGTGGCTTATATAATTGGTATCGTGGCATGTGGAGACTGGTCAGGGAAATTTGATTGTTGTACATTGTTTAATTATACATATTTATATATATACCCGTTGATTTTCTTAATTTTTTATTGTTATACATAATTTAATTATTTTTTTTTTTACACCGCCCGGTTAGCGGGCTTCGTTTTCTAAGCTTCAAGGCTAAGCTTGTTTCTTTTTGTGGCTTGAATGAACTTTATTTTTTTTTTTTTCAAAAATCGAATATCCTGATTTTTTTTTTTCAATTTTTTTTTTTCATTATTCTTATTTCGAGAATCAAATAATAACCCATTTTAAAATCGACGACAACCTTTTTATACGGCATAAATATATTCTTAAACAATAAAAATATATATATAAAATGAGCATCCTTAAAGGTGCCTTAGAAAGGCTTTTAGTCGAAGCTCAATCATGGAGGCAAAAAGAACTTGAACAAGCGTGTACTACCGCTTTAGAACAACTTCAACAAGAAATAAATTATATTGCGAAAAAGAAAGCTATAAAAAATGGAAAATTGAAAGCAAAAGTTGAAAATGATACTGCCGATGTTGCTCCTATAATAAATAATTCTGAAAATGGTTCAATACCAATAAATAATACTATAAATAACGTTCCAAAATCTCAATCTTCTACTAATGGATCTGCTGGTGAAACTAGTCAAAGAGGTGCTGAAAAAGCTGCTGAAAAAGCTGCTGAGAAAGTTGTTGAAAAAGATTCAAAACCTAATAGCTCTTCTCCAAAACACTCTCCAAGTTTATCTCAGGCTAATTCTCGTTTATCAATATCTAGTAGTTTATTTGCTCGTGCTGGTGAAGATTTACCAAAAATTTTAGCTGATAATTATTGGCAACCTTTTAGAATTTCTTGTGGTACTTCAATTCCAACTAGTATTCGTGTATTAGCTTTGGATTGTTTACAAAAAATTATTGCTCATGGTTTACTTAAAGGTTCAAGTCCAATTATTCCTCCAAAGAATAGTGTTAACAAAAAACGTGATTCAAAAATTAAATCATCTTCTTCAACAAATGGATTTAGTGAATCAAATGATTTATCATTTATTGATATTTCTGATACTCCTTTTGATAATGATGATTCAACTAATTTTGATAATGGTATTTCTACTACCACCAACAACAACAACAACAACAATACTACTTCCAATACTACTACTACATCCACTTCTACTACCACTACCACTACTACTACTACGAATCCTCCTTCAAATAATTTTCCAAATCCTGCTCGATTAATTGATGATGTAGTTCATACTGTTTGTATAGGATTTACTGGTCCTCAAACTGATCAAACTGTTCAACTTCAAATATTAAAAGTATTACTTACTCTTGTTACTACTGAACAATGTCCTGTTCATGGTATTAGTTTACTTAAAATTATTCAAACTTGTTGTAATATTTATTGTTACTCAAAAAGTCAAGTAAATCAAGCAACTGCAAAAGCTGAATTAACTCAAATTTCTAATTTTATTGTTTCGAGATGTGAAGATTTTGCTTTAGAATTATCAAAAAATGATCCTTCAAAAAATATTTCTAATACTACTACTACTACTCCTCAAACTTCTTCTCATGCAACAACTACTGAATCTAGTCCCGTAAATAATAATAATAATGATGATGTTGTTGATAAAAATGTTGAAGGAATTGATGATGTTGATAATAATAAAGATGATAATAAAGTTGATAATAAAGATGATAGCGATGATGATAAAGAAGGAAAAGTTATCATTGATGGTGATGTAAATTTGGATGTTAATGGTGCTAATTCTCCTAATTTCGTAGAGAATGCCGTAAAAACTGATGTTTCTGAATCAAAAGAGTTAACTGATGTTAACGGTGAAATCCTTGTCAAAAAAGATTCCCTTGTCAAAAAGGAATCCCTTGTCAAAAAGGAATCCCTTGTCAAAAAGGAATCTATTGATAATGACAATGAAGTATCTGATCATTCGGATGATATTATTGTAAATAATGATAGTAGTAAGGATAAGGTGATTGATGGTGATCAAGTTAATGATAATTCTGAATCATTTATAGAAGAGGTAAATTTGGCTCAAGATGATGAAGTAAAATCAGAAACGATTATAAATGAAGTTACTGAGAATAATGAGAATGATGGGAATGATGGGAATGAGTTGATTAACAAAGATCCGTTGCTTGAAAAAGTCGAAATTGAGAAAACTGTAATCGATGATAATGGAAGATCATCTGAACCACCGTCAGAAGAAGAATTAAAACAATACGTATTTGTTAAGAATGATGAATTTATGAAGGAAGATTCTACGAGGGATAATTCTATTGAAGATGATCATATAAAAGAAGGTTCTACGAGAAATGTTTCTATTGATGATGAATCTATGAAAGACAGCTCCGTTAAAGATGACCAAGTTAAACCCGATAAAAAGGATGATAATGATGATAAAACACAGACAAAGCAACCTTTGATACGAAGAAGATCTTCTTCAACTGCTATGAAAGATTTAACAATCACTATACCAACAATTATAAAAAGACGAAAATCGAAACCAAAAGAAAAAATTTCAAAACGTAAATTCTTTGATATTTTACGAAAAGATTTATATTTAACTTTTAGAATGTTTTGTTTATTTTCTTTGAGATCTGAAGGTGATGAAAATTCTCAAATTGAAGAAATAAATATTAAAGGTCGATCATTAGTTTTGGAATTAATTTTATCAATGTTGGATAATTCCGGTCCTGTCTTTCATAATGATGAAATTTATATTAAATTAATTCGACAATCTCTTTGCGTTTCTTTATCACAAAATGGTGTATCATCTAATGAACAATTATTTGAACTTTCTTTATCAAATTTTCTCATGTTATTACGTTATTATCGTGCTCCATTAAAATCTGAATTAGAAGTTCTATTTAATGAAATATATTTAAGATTCTTGGATATGAGTAACGCAACATATTTACAAAAACATTTAGTATTACAAGGTCTTATGAAAATTTGTCAAAAACCTCAAATTCTTTTAGATATTTATTTGAATTATGATTGTGATATCTCAATGGTTAGTGTATTCGAAAGAATTGTCACTTCATTATCAAAAGTTGCTCAATTACGTACAAAAATACCAAGTAGTTCTGGTATGTCAAGTTTAATAGGTGGTGGTTCTGCAACTGCTGAATTAATAGCTATGCAAGATAAAGTTTTGAAATTAAAAGGTTTAAAATGTATGGTGGCTATTGTAAATTCTTTAATCGAATGGTGTAAAGATTTGGAAAGAAGGAATGGTAATGATTCTCCTCCGTCACAATCACAAAATCCTGCACCAGATTTCACTGAAGATAAAGCTCCAATTATTTTCTCAAAAAATCCTTTATCAAGTATCAATTTTTCAACTTCTCATTCTAATTCAAGTGTTAGTAGTGTTTGTACTGACGATAATGAAGATAATCCTGCTCAATATCATGAAATGATGTCAAGAAAGCAAACTTTACGTGAAGGAATTAAATTATTTAATGCAAAACCACAGAAAGGTCTTAATTTCTTAATAGAACACGGTTTCTTAAAGAATGATACTGATAGTATAATAGCTTTCTTATTATCAACTCCAGGATTATATAAAGGATCAATTGGTGAATATTTAGGTGAAAGTGATCAAGAAGCAATCAAAATTATGCACGCATTTGTTGATCGTATGGACTTTACAGGTTTAAGATTTGTAGATGCTTTAAGATCATTTTTACAAACTTTTAGACTTCCAGGTGAAGCACAAAAAATTGATCGTATCATGGAAAAATTCGCTGATCGTTATTGTGAAACTAATCCTGATATTTTTGCAAATGCTGATACTGCTTATATTCTCGCTTATTCTGCAATTATTTTGAATACTGATCAACATTCTGCAAAAGTAAAACGTAGAATGGATAAAAATGAATTCGTAAAGAATAATCGTGGTATAAATAATAATAATGATCTTCCTGATGAATTTTTAGGTGAAATTTTTGATGAAATTGCAAATAACGAGATAGTTATGGAAGAAGAACAATTCTCTGAAGTAGCAAAAACTGCAATTAGTCATGCTAATGATCGAGAACGTCAAGAATTATATGAACGAGAAATTTCTCAAATGCAAAAAAAGAGTCAAGCACTTTTAAAAAGTAATAGGCAAGGTCAAACTCCTGCTGCTTGGCGAAGCGCTTCACATGCTGATCATGTTAAACCTATGTTTGCTGTGGTTTGTTGGCCTTTAATGGCTACTCTTAGTCTCGTGTTTGAGGAAGCAGATAATCCTTTATCAAATTCCACCAAAGGTATTGATTTTTCTCAATCAAATCAAGAAGCAATCGAATTATGTCTTGAAGGATTTCTTGGTGCTATCCGGATAAGTAGTATATTTCGTATGGATGTTGAACGTGATGCCTTTGTTTCTTCTTTGGCTAAGCTGACTGGTTTAAATCATGTTGATGAGATGAGACCAAAAAATGTAGCTGCGATTAAGACATTACTTTCTGCTGCTAATTCATACGGTGAAGGATTACAATCTTCATGGCTTATAGTATTGAAAACTGTATCTACCATGGAACGATATCAATTAATTGACAGTGCTATAGGATCTGGTGTTTACAATGCGGAAGGAGTTAGTGGAGTGGATTACTCTACACAAAATGGTCGCAATGAAACTACTTCAAATATTTCATTAAATACTACATCTCCAACTCGTCAAAATACAAATACAACACGTAGTAATCCTTTGATGAAAGAATTTCAATCTCAGAGTACTATAATTGCAATAGATAGGATTTTCACTAATAGTGTGAAATTAAGTGGTGATGCGATAGTACACTTTTTCACTGCTCTCTGTGCCGTTTCTCTTGAAGAAGTTAATTCCTCAAGATCATCACCAAGAATGTTTAGTCTCCAACGAATTGTTGAAATTGGTAAGTTTTTATTATCATAATTATTTTATTATTATTATGTTATTAATTGAATAATAATTTTATAAAAAATAATTTAATCATAGCTTATTATAACATGTCACGTATTCGATTCGAATGGACCCATATTTGGAAAATTCTCCAACCTCATTTCATTGACGTAGGATGTCATGCAAATAATATAGTTGCCACATTTGCCATTGATTCTCTTAGGCAATTAAGTATGAAATTTTTAGAAAGGGATGAATTATCACATTATAATACTCAAAGTGAATTTATGAAACCATTCGAACAAATAATTAAGAATAACCCTTCTCCAAATATTCATGATCTCATTATACAATCAATTATTCAAATGATTTCTGCTCGTGCTAGAAATATAAAATCTGGTTGGAAAAGTATTTTTGTGGTATTTGGTCGTGCAGCTTCTGATGAAAATCCACAATTAGTAGAAACAACATTTGATGCTGTTAGGTTGGTATATCAAAAACATTTGGATCTTATAGGACCTGCATTTGTGGATTTCGTAAATTGTTTAGTGGAGTTCGCTTTTAATTGCAAGGAAAAAGAGTTTGTCAATGAATCTATCAGAATGTTACAAGGTTGTGTTAAAGTTTTAGTGAAGGACGTGGACAATTTATCAAAGAATGTAACTAAGGGTGAACAACGAAAAGAAAATATTATTGTTTTACCATCAACAACAACACCTGAACAAGTTGCTGCTTCTAAAAAGAAATTACAACACATTGAAGAGGAGCAATTCTTCTTGAAATGGTTCCCCGTCGTATCTGGTCTTTCACGTCTTGTAATTGATTCAGAATCTCAAGAAATTAGAAATAAAGCATTGGAAACACTCTTTGAGATTTTGAAATCTACAGGACATTTATTCGAAATAAATTATTGGATCAAAATTTTCAGAAATGCTATAATACCCATATTTGAAGATCTTAAAGAACTTACATTGTCACAGCAATCATCATCAGTGATTGATAAGAGACCCGAAACATCTTTAGAAATATGGATTCAGACTATTCGTTCTATAGTAGACATTTATACAATTTTCCATGATATATTTGTTACAAAACCAGAATTTTTAGTAGAATTACTAGATTTATTAGTCGCTCTAATTAAGCGTAGAAATGAAAGATTGGGTCAAACTGGAATTCGTTGTTTCCATAACCTGATATCGAGAAATGGATCGAAATTTGATAACGTCACATGGGGAATCATTACAACAACTTTGGAGGACGTTTTTAAATGGACGACTCCAAATGAACTTTTGGAAATAGAAATAACGACATCCGAAGTTGGAGACAATGAGAAGAATGATATAAGAAGCGCAAAGAATATTCCTGTAGGTGGTGGAACTCTATTAATGAATGTTCCTTCTAACAATGGAATGAGCGATTCAATGAGTATACATACACCTGATAATCCTCAATCTTTCATATCCGATAAAAGTAATTCTAAATTCGATATAGATTTTCAATATACTGTTATAAAGTGCGGAACTCAACTTATTGTTATCCAAACTGTTCAAGATCTTGCACTTAATGATAAGGAACAAGTTCGTTTTCTTATTCAAATGTCAGCAGAATTTCGAAACAGATGGTTGAAATGCTTATATAATTCTTACAAATTTGCTCGAGATTTCAATGCAAATCATGATCTTCGTCGTTCCCTCTTAAAAGCAGGTTATGTTCAACAGTTACCTAATCTTACAAAACAAGAAACTTTATCGTTATCTGTATTTCTTTCAATCCTTTTTGATCTTTATCGGACATTTGGTGATAATGATCAAAATTTATTACCACCTTTGATTGAAGAATCAACTCTTGTACTTCAAAAACTCGTTAAATTAATGCACGAGCCATTATCAAATCAACTACAACAGAGAGAATTGAACAATTGGTCACCTTTAGTAGTTACAATTCTAAGAGAATTGTGTAAAACTAAATGGAGTCATGGTAGAAAATATAGCGATGTTGATATAAATGATGATGATGATAATAGATTAGTAGGGTTAAGAAAACAAATTCCAGATTTTTATAGATTAGTAACTAAAATTATTGGGATAGATAGGGTTGATGTTAGAGTTGCTATTCAAGAATTTTTAGAAAAAGTCGGGGACGAATTCTTGAATGTTGATTAGAACTTTTATGTTTAATAGGAATAATGTTATGTGTATCACTAGTAAACATTTTTTTTTTACATTTTAAAAAAATGTTTGATCAAAACTTTAATACGTAGGAAAAATCTTGTTTAACAAATTATCGCTAGTATATCTAACTCTACAATTATATCATTCGATATTAATGCTATTTTTTTTTTTTTTTTCATTGATTACAAAACTTTAACTTTGATCCTTTAAAGGATTTAAAACTTTCATGAAATATGGGGTGTAGGATTATTCGATAATATAATCTTCTTTACAACTATATATCATATATATTAGTGAACATGTTTTTATTTGCAATCTATTGTTAGAGACTATAAATGTAAATTATCTGAATATAGAATTTAATTTCAAATATTATAAAATTGGGTAATACGAATAAAAAAAAAAAAAAATTTTTCTATAATTAGACCGTGCAAAGCTTATACGTATCATGTTTAACAATTTTCCGGCCATACTGACAAGAGAATCACAAATAGGAGAAAGTTAGCTTATTTTAAATATAATGTTCTTTAGGCTCGTGTGTTAAATTAACATGAATGTAAATAAATATATATATTATAGGCTTCAACAGTTGACTACTGCTTATATATAGTATTTTTTGTTTGGTTTTTTTTTTTGGTTTTTTTTCTTTGATAATCTTGCACAGTTTATATACAAAAATGTTCTAACAAATTTATAAGAGGCAAATACCCAGCTGCTTCAAAAGTGCCCAAGTATGGTTATCACATTGATATTAGCCACTAAGTTTTACATAAAGTGCTATCTTTATTTAAAACCCTAATATAGTATAGTACTTAGTTGCATTTTTTAAAACCTTTTCTATCTAGCTTCCTATTAGCAGAATTAATACAGTAGTTCTCTTTTACAAAAAGAATGCAAAAAAAACAAAAATAATCTTTAAAATTAAAAGAGTATAAAAATATATATTTAAAGGGGTAAAAAGAATTATTATATATCTAAACAATAAAATAATAGCAAAAGATAAGAAAATAAAATAAAAAGAAAAAAAGATAAGAAAAGTAAAAAAAAAATATTATAAATAAAATAACTAATTTGTGCTTTTTAATCTAAGTCAGAGCTAAAAATATTAGAGGTGTGGCGACTTAGTGTAGTGGTCACCTTTTCCAAGTGGCAGGTCTAGAGTTCAAATCCCATGGATGACGAATTTTGAAAAATAGCCTGTGCTACGGTTTATGGTTGTTAATTATCGGTTGGATTTAGAAATCTGTAATCTCGGTTATACCATCTAGTTATGGGAGCTTTGGCGCAATAAATCTGAGAAACCGGAATAACCGAAAACCCATTTGGCAAGTCCC